CTCATCCTCCAAATCAAGACTAGCCACCAATCCAAGAATAACCCAAATGGATGACATCTTCACAACGGGAGAAAAAAAATCTCATCAAAGTCAATTCCTTTCTTCTGACTAAATCCCTTAACAACCAACCTTGCCTTGAACCGAGGATGTAAACTGTGCTCTTCATGCTTAATCCTGCATACCTACTTGTTAAGCAATACTTGTTTACCCTTAAGCAACTTCACCAGCTCAAATGTGTGATTCTTGTACAAAGAATCCAGCTCATCATTTATGGCTTTCCACCATTCATCTTTGTGTTCATCTCCCAAAGCTTCATCAAAGCTTTCTCGTTCTCCCCCTTTAGTAAGTAATGCATACTCACTAGGATCATATCTCGCCGATGGTCTTTGATCCTTCATCGATCTTCTAATAGGAGGTAAGTTCTCGATAGTTGGTGTCTCAACATGATCATCATCACCAACACCATCATCAACCTATACGGAAGCATCAGTACCAGGTACATCAATCTGAACCTCACCCTCAACATGACGGTGAACTGATGCCGGAGACACTATCCCTGAATCGACCAAAGCTTCATTACTCTGAGCTGAACTTCTGGACTTATCAATGTCTTGAATGGTTTGATCTTCAATGAACACAACATCTCTACTCCTGATGAGTTTCTTCTCCACGGGATCATAGAATATATACCCAAATTCATCCTGACCATAACTGATGAACACAAACTGTCTAGACTTCATTTCAAGCTTCGACCTCTCATCTTTAGGAATGTGAACAAATGCTTTGCACCCAAAGACCTTCAAATGACCATAGGAAACATTCTTACTAGTCCAAACCCTTTCTAGAACATCACCCTGCAAAGGTACGCTAGGTGAAAAGTTCAACACATGAACCACAGTGCTCAAAGCTTCACCATAGAAAGATTTCGGCAAGCCTGACTGAGAAATCAAACATCTGATCCTCTCAACAAGTGTTCTGTTCATCCTTTCAGCCAACTCATTCAACTAAGGCGTCTTAGGTGGCGTCTTCTGATGCCTAATATCATGTTCTCGACAATATGCATCAAATGGTCCAGAATACTCGCCTTCATTGTCGCTTCAAATATACTTTAATTTCTTTTCTGTCTGTCTCTCAACCAATGCTTGAAACTGCTTGAAGATACCGAGAACTTGATCTTTACTCTTCATAATATAAGCCTACAATTTTCTAGAGTGGTCATCGGCAAACTTGACAAAATATGAGGCACCACCAAGTGACCTTGTCTTCAACGGACCGCACACATCAGAATGCACCAGATCAAGTATTTCTGGCTTTCTTGAAGGTGTAGAAGACTTGAATGAGATTCTTTGTTATTTTCTAGCAAAACAATGAGCACACTTCTTCAAGTGCATTTCGGAGATTCCAGATATGACCTTCTTCTTAGATAATACAGACATTCCTTTCTCACTCATGTGACCGAGCCTCTTATGCCATAACTCAATGGCATCATCATTCACCACAGCATTAACAATGTTTTTGGAGAGCTTAGCCTGCATCATATACAGAGACAAAGACTTAATACCTCGAGCCACAACCATAGATCCTTTTGTGAGTTTCCACTGACCATCACTGAATGTACTGCAAAAACCTTCATCATCAAGTCTTCCGACTGAAATCAAATTCAAACAAATATCCAAAACATGCTTAACACCCTTAAGCATAAGTCTAGTACCATTATTAGTTTCCAAGCAAACATCTCTAATGCCAACAAACTGAGCCAAACCATCATTACCCATCTTAATGAAACCAAAAGTGCCCGAAGTGTATGTAGCAAAGAATTCCCACCGAGATGTAGCATGAATAGAAGCTCCACTATCAATGGCCCAACTAATCTCATGACACACGAGATTTATCACTTCATCATCAAGAATAATGAGAAACTCATCTCTGGTGACTGCAACTTGTTCATCATTGTCTCCTTGTTTCTTTCCTTTTTCATTCTTGTTGTCTTTCTTCAATTTCCAACACTTTTTCTTGATGTGCCCTTTCTTGTGACAATAGTGACACTCCACATGTGCAAATTTATTCGATTTGCTCCTGGTCCTGTTCTTTCCCTTTTTCGGATCCCGACTCAAACTCCTCCCCCTTGACTTAGTAACCAGAACATCAAAATTTGAGGAACTAGCTTGTGATCATTTTCTCATTTCCTCATTCAAAACACTGCTCTTGGCTAAGTCCATCGATATAACACCATTTGGAGCGGAGTTAGAAAGTGACATTCTGAATGTCTCCCAAGAATCTGGTAGTGTACTAAGAAGCCATAAACCCTGAATCTCATCATCGAAGGTGATTCCCATACAGACAACTGATTGAACAATCCCTGAAACACATTCAAGTGATCTGACATCAGAGTTCCCTCTTCATACTTCAAATCAATCATCTTCTTGATCAAATACAACTTATGATTCCCAGTTTTTCGAGCATACAACTGTTCCAGCTTCATCCACAACTTATTATTTGCTCCTGTTCTTTTCTCTCAAATGAATGTCTCTCTCTATCTAATTTTTGGCACTCTGATTATTTAACCTAATTAGAAGCTAATTTGAAAATTTTGCCCTCAAACCACATAGAAAACCGAGACACGTTTTTATAAGTATTTTGGTTATCCAACCCGAACCGAAATACCATCCGGTTTCCTCTACTAGGAGGAAAACCAACACCCCGAACATGTGTCTTTATTTTGGAGCAGTGTTCTAAAAGCATGTAATGCTTCCTTTTCAGTGCAAATTGATTGTAGGAGTTTGTGACACTAAATTTTGGTTGCATCATTAAGTTCGAAATAAAAGATCTTGCATCCCTCTTCCTTTGAATCTTTCAAATGAAATCATGGAGACCTCATCGACTCTAAATTTAAGCTATATATTGATAACCTACTTGTTTGGGCTCCAAAGTTTATGCCGTGGCCACCACCTTATTTGCTCACAGACATGTAATAGCTACTCAACATTATTAAATTCACACTACGGGCTGGAGGACCAGATGTGGAGCTTTACTAGAAATGGTGCATTCACATTTAAATCTCTTCATCACTCTCTCCACAAGTAGCTTTAAAGCTCATCCCTTCTCTCGACCAATTTTGGTCTTACTCCACTCTACTGAAATTTTTCATGTGGCTACTATTATATTATAGATTTCTCATGACTGATAATTTTATAAAAACAAATTGCTCACATCATCCTACGATATCTTATGCTACAATAGTGTAGAGTCTAAATCATGTTCTTATGTTGGTAGTATTTGAGATTTCATTCTCACTCACTATTACTCTAATACACTTCCATCGTTGACTGCAACACTTTATGCCTCTTATAGGAAGAACATCTCGCTACATCTGCTTAATCCATGGGGATGCATCATCCTTTTATGTTATTCCTACATTTTGGGATGAACGAATTGAAGATATTTTAGGATAAACTGAGAGATACAGACACTTTTCATCATCTAATGTACGATAATCATTTATAAGGAATGACAACACTGACTTACGCTTGAACTAATGATAGACTGGAAGAAGCATGACACGTTAATTTAAAAAAAATAGTAGCATTTTTGTGTTCTAATATTTCCTCTTAGTTATCTCCTCATTATGTACTCCCTTTTCTCCCCCTTCATCCCATGACTGTAATGTATCTTCTTTTCAAATCAGTAAATTCCCTGACATCTTGCGCCAGTTACTCGCAAAAATAAAAAAATAATAATAAATAAACTAAATAAAAATAAAAATTCAAGTCAAATATCATATGGTATTTGGCTGTTATATTAGCTAAAGAACTATAAAAGTGAATGCAATAGATAATCAAACAAATGTAAGATAAATACATTTTATAGATTGGAATTTCTAGGAAGCTTATCTTATGTTTTCTCAACTTTTTTTTTTCTTTTTTGAGAAAAACTCTAGGAAGCTTTCAGTTGTATGGTGAGATTTATTAAGTCTACTGAACTTTAGAGAGTCGGCCACATGTCATAATTAACTGGCTGAGTTTCACTAATCTGAAAGCCCGACCCAAGTGTGAACACTGCCAACCTCTCTAGCAACCCAAGTTCAAGAGGGAAGGTGTCTTTGGGCCGCGACACTTTAGAAGAAGCCAAGTCTAAGACGGAAGGTGTCTTCTATTCATGCCATTTGCTAAAGAATGTCTCGAATGACGAGACGACCTATCATCTTCACCGGTTGTACTTCGCCGCTCAATTACTATTACATTTAATGTTGAGTCGGAGCAATTACAACTCTTTATGCCAAAGTTATGACTCTTTGGACCATGCCAACACTTCAGTCGTTCTATCACTGTCTGATTAGATGCGAAAAGTAACTCATTCAACTGGCTACCAACACGTGTAAAATGCAGTCTAATCAACCTGAAACTAGATTCTGTAAACTTATTTAATTTGTTACTGACTTGAACGGCGGAGGGCACGTCAGAGCAGCAAACTATGGCCCTCTCTAACAGGTGTTTCCTATGTAGGAATCTACCTCTTTCAGATTGATCAACTATTAAAGAAGATCAATGGACCTTAAGCCCCTCTAAATATCCGCTTATCGATAAAGTTAACTTTCTAACGTACACTTTACTTTTTTAGAGACATCGAGTAGTCAATTTGGAATACATTGGTAAAAGCATACAAGAGTGTGAAATCCATTTTAATTCTCTTGCCTACTGTACCCTATTAGGTAAAGGAAACAAAATAATTTCTAAGGGAGCTAATCCATTTCGAAAGCATGCGCAAATTGAGCTGGTGTCAAGACCACAAAAACTACGCTAAGCTTTGCAAGCCTCTCCATCCACTGTTAGTAATACAGCCCATTCCCTCTCTCTGC